GATATTTAGTGGAGATGGTCAAACCTGAACACCAAGCTAAATTGTGATTAGCAATTTCATTGAAGAGGTTGACCACCTCAGCAGAAATACTTGGTTGATACTTTTTGAGTATACTGTCAGGTGGTAGACAATAAGAGTAATAAATTAAAATAATTTAATATTTTAGAGCAATTTTGGCTTAGGAAAATGTAAAAATAAATTTCTAATAATAGTGAAATCTTGTCTAAAAAGGAAGAGGCCAATATATGATCCCTTGAAGTTTTCACAGATTAGAATATTTTTTGTAAAATTCATTACCCAAAAGGGCAGTGTCACATTTTTTTCAGCATTTGAAACTTGCCAACTTTAACATGTCTCTTGATGCCATAATAAATGTTGCCACTGGCAGACATTCCATGTAAATAGAAGGGCAAAAATAGTGTTAAATGGTGGAACTAGGAGAATGGGAGTCTCTAAATACTTATTAAGGTATTTTTTCAGGATATTTGATTAGGAGACTTAAATTTTGTTCATTAAAGGGAATGTAAATGTATAGAAAGGAGATGAACAAAAGAAATATGATGTTCAAATGTAATGAATAGAGGTAAATGTAATACAAAAGTAAGATATTAAGAAGGTTATGAATTATGCAGTTTTTTATAGTAACACAACCACCACTGGTAGACTTTTGCAAATATTACAAATTTCACTCTGGTTAGAATCTGTAACTAATTGATTCATTTTGCCTGAAAATTCATGTCCACTTAGATCCTCAGAATTTGACCTATTAGGAAACAGGTTCTTTGCAGATGAAATGAGTTAAATCGAGGTCACACTGGTTCGGGTGGACTCTAAATTCAATGACTAATGTCTTTTCAAAAAGAGAAGAGGACCCACAGAAATACATACTGGGAAATAGGTTGAATTTGGAAGCGATGCAGCTACAAGATAAGGAATGCTGGGTGATACTGGAAACCACAGAAGCTAGAAGATAGATATGGAACATTTACCCTTAGGCCCCCCGAAAGAACCAATCCTGCTAATATTTTGATTGAAGACTTCTGGTCTTCAAAACCATAGGAGATAAGACTTCTGTTATGGTAAGCCACCCTGTTTTTGATGCTTTGTTATGGCAGCCCTAGGAAACCAGTATGCCATCCAGTGCCCCTCACCTCAAAATGCAAGCATCTGCAAAGGATACCACTGGATCATGCTGCACTCAGAAAATTTGAATGCTTGTTTTTCAAGTCCTTTGTGTCTTGATCCATGGATCCTATTGACAAGCACTTTTTTTTCCAGAATCTTTGTTTTGTTTAACAACCTTTTGTTCTGCCTGCCAAGTTGGGATGACTGTTAAATTATGGCTTTTGTTGAAAGCTTAGTTGCTTATATTTGTATTTTATGGCTTCAATGCCTATTTTATTTTTAAAAGAAAGGAGAGTAAAATAAAAGGAAATTAAGCAAAGCAAAATTTAATCAACATTCAAGGTCTCTAATCCTCTCTAAACACAATAGCATGATCAGTGTGTCTTACATATGCTAAGCATGTGGGATCAGATACATAATATGAAAGGCTTGCACATGATCTGCCCTTTATCTAATCAAGATTGTTTGCTGTTGCTTCTTCCTCACATTGACAGTGTGTTAGGGGCAAAACAGAGCTGTATTCTTTTCCGTAAGTAAAACCTATGATCTTGTTCTGATGGACACTGAGGGTCTCTTTGCAAAATATTACTCCACCTTTTTCTCAAATCAGCACTAACTGAGAAAATCATTACTTCTGATTAAACTGGAAGGACAAAAGGATACTGGAGATGTATTTGAAATTTAATGAAGTGCTGATGTATTACATTTTATATATTATATTCAAAGTGCTAAGAAATAAATTCTGAAATATGGAAGTAGTACATATTGATTGCATAAACATTCTGAATAATTTTGTTTCAAACTACTGAATTCAGATCTATTAAAATCAGATCTCCTGAATTCAGAAGAGTTCTAAGAGGAACCCTTTGACTCTAAGAGGAGTCAAAAATGACAGTGAGAGACTAAGACAGACAAAGAGATTTAATAAGCTATAGGTGGGGCCAAGTGGGGCTCTTGACTCCTGTTGGGAGGAAAAGACCACCAAGCAAATGGCTGCACATTTATTTGTAGTGGTAGAGGTAAAAGGGACTGGTCTGTAACCAGAGCCAGGAGAGTACCTAAGGTCTGCAGGACATCATGCTTGGTTTTCTGGTGAATGGTCAGGGAGAAAGACAGTCCTCTTCTTGGCCAGGCCTTGCTCCACCACACCCCCTTGTCACCTCCCGTGGGGTCCTGCCTTATCCATAGGAGGAGGTGAGTTAAATCTGGCCATTGTGATCTACAGAGCATCACTCCCAGCAATTATTATTTACTAAAATTCAAATATTTAATATTTTTTATGTTTTAAAACATATTTTAGAATTTTTAATGTTGAGTTCATTAAAAACCCTATATTGAAGGTAAAATCTAAGAAGATAGTAGCAGACAATCTTGTAATGTTCCTGACTACCAACATAAAAACAGGCAGAGCAACTACATAGAAAATCAATACCTTATGGTTGAGCTTTTCAACATGCATTATCAGAAACTCACAGGGGTTTATCTCAGTGGTGCTGCCACCTACCTCGAAAATGCAAGGTCAAGTGTTCAATCTCCAATACCAAAAAAAAAAGAAGAAGCCTATTGTACAGAACTATAAATATGTCATCAACAAAATCCTGAGTTTGGAAAATTGCCCAGATGTCTTTATTCCTCAAAGAAAAATTGAAGAAAAAGAGGGATAATGGGATAGCATAGATTTTTAAAAATATTAAAAACATCCAATTGGTTAAAACAGGCAAGAGTAAACTATGATATCTAGAATTGAATATTTGTGTGATAACGACAAAGCCTACAAAGAAATCCTCAAGGAAGTGTTTTCTGTAAAATAAATGGTAGTGGTTACATTCTTGGGATAGAGAAGGGGCTCTCACTGGGCTGGGACACACTGAGAGCTGTAATAAAGAGGCTGGCTCCTCTTTTGATGCTTCTTGACAACTTTCATTCCCCATTCTCCCACCTCCATTCTGTCTCATATCTCAACAGTTCAAGCCCATATTCTTTATCCATTGAAATCATGAGGAAGTTCAGAGCATGCAAGCTGTTTATAGGCCTGCAAGCCTACCCTCTTTCCCTAGGAAGCTTCATTATGTAACAAATATTTTTATCCCTAGTTCATGAATGATGGGGATCATCAGCCATAACATCTAAACTAAATTTCAGGTAGGGGACTGTTCCTGACTGGAGCATAACCACAATTAGACTTCCAGGGTAGCCAGGAAAGTTCTGCCTTTTGACCCATTTCTTTTATGAAATCATCCTGAGTAAAATAGACCTAGATGTTGGAAGATAATCAAGAAACCTCCCACAGGATACCAGAGAAAAAAATGAGTCATTTGTTTATTATCATTTTGGAGTTTTCTAGACTCAAATAAATTATATAATAGAGAAAAATCCAATTAGGTAAGTGGTTTGTGGTAGCTAGAGTTTTAAATGCTCTGCATGTTTTCTGTTCTTATTTTTCTCCTGTCCTGTGGCAGTTTTCTTCTTCCATCTTTATTTGGTTTGGGTAGGGCATCAATCACAGAACCCCAGTGTTATCAAATATGGCCACTCCAATGTTAGGGAAAAATCTTAGCTTTGCCCAGTCTGATTACTTTCTCAGATATCAGTGCTCCTTTGTCAAATATCAGTTGATTATATTTGTGTACATTTATTTATGTACTCTTATTCCATCCTGTTGATCTATTTTTGTGATCTTGTACCAACATCACACTTTATTTTTTGCTTAGTTTTCTAATAGGTCTTGAAGTTGAGTAGAGTATGTTGTTGTCTGACTTTGTTCTTCTTCAATATTGAATGATACATCCTGAGCTTTCTGTCTCTTCATATACATTTTATAATAATTACTTTGTTCATTATCTACAAAATGGCTTGCTGAGAGTTTGACTGGAAATCTGTAAATAAAATTGGGAACAAGTGATATCTTGATAATACTGAGTCTTGTTGTCCATGAACATGGAATAACTCTTCATTTATTTAGTTCTTTCATGATTTATTTTATCAGAGTTTTGATGTTTTCCATATATAGATAGTGTACATATTCTGTTAAACTTATACAAAAATATTTTATTTTGGGAGGGGGAAACTACTGTAAATGTTCATATACTTTGAATTTCAAATTCCCTTCAATAATTGCTGGTTTATAGGAACATAATTGACTTTTGCACGTTAAACTTATATCTTGCAGCCTTGTTATAATCACTTATTAACTCTAGGGTTTTCTTTTAATTCTTTCAGATTTTCTGCAGACACAATCATGTCATATGTGAACAAAATAGTATTATTTCTTCCTTCCTTATCTGTATACCTTCTATCCTCCCCATTTTCAATTGTGTGTTTATTTCCACATATAGCTCATAGTGGCAGTTATTTTCTTTTCCCTTCAAAATACTGCCCACCAATTTGTGGTTTTATTGTTTCTGTTGAGCTCTGCTACCAATTTAATTGTAATTTCTTTATAGATAAACTCTGTTTTTCTATGACCAGTTTTTTTTTAATTCAACAAATATTTATTGAGTGCCTATTAGGTGCAAGATATTGTTCCAGGTACTTGGGTCACAGAGAATGGAACAAAGAGCCCTGCTCTTGTGGAGCTTACAGGTGGTCATTTACTGCCACTTGACCTGCATTCTGTCCATGACCTTGGGCAAATCTCTGCACCTCTGTGTCTGTCATCAGCTGCCCAATGGGGGAATAAGCAGGATGGGCTCAGATGTGGATACTGTGGTGGTCTGCAGATGCTGATGGGATACCTGCCCAACCTACCTCCCAGACAACACAGAGGGCTGGAAGCTGATTTTTAATAAAGTACAATGAATGGGAAGAGGGAGGCGGGAGCAGCGCCATGCTGGACGGTGACCTGTGGTGGTACTGGTGGCAGGAGCCCACACCACCTACATGAACTGCTGCTGTTGCTGTTGCTGCTTGGTGGCAGCCTTGTTGGCGAGGTCTTTGGCCTTCTCTGTGGCTTCCAATGCCTTCTGTAGCTCCTTTGCCTTCTCCTTGGCTTCCTTGGCTGTCTCAATAAGTGTTTTAGAAGGGGCCTCACCTTGCAGCTTGGCCAAGATGTATTCAAAACCCTTCATGGTCTTGGTCACATTACTTTTGAAACAGTCAAGGCCAAATTCCTGGACAGCTCTGGAGACACCAAATAAGCTAGAGGAGACCCAGGTTTCCCAGTGGATTTCGGTCCAGCCACTGTTGTAGGAGTTCTCACAGTAAACACATTGTTCCTCCACCACCATCAGCCAGGCATGGTTGATGTTCCAGGTGATTCTATAGTGGACGCACAGAATCAGACCATGACCATCTATGACCAGTTTTTAAGAGGTCCTCTTTGTCTTTCACATTATGTAGTTATAAGTACATGTATTTAGGCTTGCAAGGAACCCCAATTTATATCACACTTATTTTGATTCTTTAGCCAACTATAGCTGTATATTCTTATCTCTGGGTTCTGTTCATGATTTTCATCCTCCCACTTCTTTCTCCTACCTTGCCCTTTGCCATCTGTGCTGAAGTGAGGTGGGAACATCAGGCTCCTGTGTGAGAGGTGAATGTGATCTCCTCAGCCTGTGGGTTGTGGGATTTCTGGCCTTTCAGTGCTCTGAGTAACCTTTGTGGGAGAGGATGATTTTCCTCCTTAGGGCCTGGCATTAGTGGCAAGTTGTGTGCTTGGTGGGCAGAAATGCTGTTTCAGTTACAAGCTGTCTGCACTTGGACAGGGTGAGAAGCTCTGCTCTTTCTTGCTCCGTGGAGGTAGTTAGCAGCAGAGCTACCAAATGACGCATTTGTTGGCAGCCCAACTTGTCCTTGCTCTGCCATGTGGCAGGCCATAAAGCTATCTAGGCTAGTTGCACCTGTTGACAGAGGGGCCATGACCACAGGCCACGCTGGCTGGGCATCCTTCCAGCAGGGGAATCTGAGCATTATCAGACTCCCACGCAGCAGTCCCAAACCCATGTGTGGAGCAAAAGGAAGCAGAGGGGCTTCCTGAGAAATCTGAATTCCTGCTATCAGTGACCATTGTACCATTAAGATTTTTCACAAAGAAAGGCAAAGAACTGCAAAGACTTCCTTCCTCTCAGAATATATAACTGACTGCTTTAAAATGTGTTCAGCCAGGCAGCTGGTCAAACAGGTGCCAGACTTACAGGAAAATCTGGAAGTCTGTATCATGGTCTTCCTCTTGCCTCTCATACTTGTCTCTATTCCAAGGTTTTATTCTGAAACTCCTTTCAAGAATATGAAAGTAGACTAAAATGTCATCTACTGATATGCCATTTACAATTATAATCTAGAAACATGCCCCCTTATAAGTTTAAATTTTTAGATTTGAGTTCATAATGATTCTAGTTTTCAAAACTTCTAGTCAGTGTTATCCATTAAAATAGGCACAGTTGGTAGCTTCTTCAGTCAACAAGTGAATTTCAAAATAAAAGTGTTCAGGGCTGGGATTTAGCTCAGTGGTTCCACTGCCTGCCTCGAAAACGCAAGGTTCTGAGTTCGAACCCTGGTACCAAATAAATAAATAAATAAATACACAAATAAATAAATAATAAAAGTGTTCATTCATTTTTATAAATATTTTGGAGTACTTACTGTTGCCTACCTGGCACTGGTTTAAGAGCGAGGTATGCAAGAGTGGAAATATTAGACAAGATCCAGGCCCATATAGCGTTTATATTTTAATTGAAGAGACAGAACAAGGTATCTGCAAAAATAAAATAACTACAAATTGGGATGGTATAATGAAAGAAACATAAGGACCTGAGCTGGAGACTAAAGAAGCTTTGCTACATTTCTTACCACATATGTTATAATTATCTGTGTGTTGTTTTGCCGCCTCCTAAGACTTCAAGTCACAACTAAGACTTTTTCGTCTTAGTTTCCTTAATACTTAGGAAGGAGCCTGACCCATGAAAACTTCTAAGTATCTTCAGGGTGAACATATGATTATTCATGTTGATGATGAATTAATGAAACATTGGGGCATTGTGAAGAAATGATTATACTTTACACATGATACAGAAAGTACCAATACATCTACATTTCACATTCTGTTATTTCAATAACATTTTGTGTTTAATCTTCAGGTTTTATGTTTTCATTCTATCTTGGTTTGATCCATAAGCCAGTGTAGGTCTTCTGGGAGAATAAATCCAGTTTTCCTTTTATCTTCCGGTCAGACACAAGTGTGAGGCACAGGAAACCAGGACTGTATGCATTAAGATATGTAATTGGCACTGGAAAAAACCATGGCAGCTTGGTAGTGTCCCTGGAACCCTTAGTAATGATGAAGTTCCCGGTTCTCAGGTTTCTTGTCACCTTCCTTTTATCTTCCAGAACAGCACATTTCAGTTTTTACTGCTGACTAAATGAGCAGCTGTGATGTGTTCCTGTCTCTCACTCTCTCTTCCTGTCCTTCCCACCTCAGCCGTCCTCCCTGCTCACTTTGCAGTTGCTTCTTTGAATTTTGTGTCACATGACACCAGAGGCATGGGGTCAAACAGTGCTAATACCTCTATGCACAACCCATGACCTCCAAAGGGGAACGTATCTCCTTCAAAATTGTGTGGCTTCTGTTTTGAAAAGGTTTGTATGCTAGATGAGATCTGAGAGAACAAAGGTTCCAAAAACTAGAAAACTGTGCTCTTTTAGGGAGATTAAAATGAGAATAATTATCACTTCCAACTAACTGGTTTTACAATAAAGAAGCTGAAGTCAGAGAGATAAAAGCAAATAAGTGAGCAAGGTGAAAACTGCAGTCCAGGGCTGGATGCCAAGTCACCCAGCTCTGGCCTGGTGTGTCCAGCCTCTTCTTTGTATATATAGCAGTTGCACTTCCTTCTCCAAACTACCCTTTGGCACTCAATATACAAGACCTTGCTTGAAATTGAGAATCAGAAGTTCAGTTTTAGTTGGTCATGATCATAATTACATAAATATTTATGGGTCACTTGTCAAAACCATGAATTTTTCATAAAATTAAGTAAAAGACATGACCTCTAAGCTTGAAGACCTCATAACCAGAGAGTTTTAAAGCTAGAGTCCTAGTGTTTGACAAATAAAAAAGATGGAGGAGGAGAAAGAGCAGGAGGAAGAGGAGGGAAAAAGGAGGAGGAAGAAGAAAAGAGAAGAGGAGGAGGAAAGAGAAGAAAATGATTTTAGGGAAGGAAACATGATTTATTGCTAGTAAAAAATGAGTGAGTTGAACAAATGATATTAAAGCCCAGGTCTTCAGACTCTCAGGCTGATACATAGTCCACAATATGCAACTAGAAAGAGAACATTGAGAAGCAACTGCAAGGAAACATGAGTTGGAGCTTTCTCGTGGTGTGCATTAACTATATCTCTCCAAAAAAGGGTATAAGGTCCAGCAAACATGAATGTAGATCCTGGGAGAAGGTGAATCTTCAGCAAGGATTTATAGGAAAGTAGCATTTGGGGAGCAGAGAGACAGATTGTTATTAAAGCAAGACCGTGGACAAGCAAGAGTGAAAATAAACCAGATAGCTTTAGGGCTTATTAAGGAGATGAATACATGTTGCTAGAGGTGTTTGAAGATTGTATAGCACACAGCTCAAATACCCAGCCCACAGTTGAGCACACCATTGTGTGCCAGTGGGGTGAATGAAGTGGGTAGGCAGATGAATGAGAAATAATGTTCTGTGTGTGGTAGGGTCTGGACACTCTGGTCACTAGTATCTTGATTCCCAAAGCAGGTAGAGTTTACCAAATCTGTCTACAGAAAACAAATGCAAAGGGAACTGCAGATGAACTGTGAGAGACCACACAAAGGTGTGATGAAAATAGTTGAAACTGATTTGTAAGTGATCAGATAGTTCTTGCTCTATATCTAGGGACAGTGACCTCCAGAGATACTCACTGATGCTGACATCCAGTTCTTGTTGCTCCTCACCTATACTGGTGAATACTGTACCTGTGGGATCCTGACAGCATTCTTAGAGGTGGCCTGGTCCTGCCTCAGCCCTGGGTCCCTGGTGCTTTTTTCACGTCTGATGGGAATGTTTCTTACTTGCTGTAGAAACCCTATTTCTCTGAGTTAGTTTACTCTTGCTGTAGTTTTAATGTATTTAATTTTAATGTACTGAGCAGTTGACTTTCTTTTCTTCAGAATGCCCTACAAACTCTGGGGGAAAGTATGTGATTCAGGAGTCCAAAAGTGAATCTGCTCTCTTCCACAAGCCACATCCTCTTTCTGGCTGGATGATATCTTATTAAGGATTATCACTCTTGTCTTTGTGTATTGGTCAATAGGTTTTTTGGTTCTTGTTTTTAATTCTTCCTGGATAAAACGGCACTTCCTGTATAGAGGATGAATTGAAAATAAGAACCACAGTAACCTTTAGCAACAACACTCAGCATCCACTGTGTTCAATTTATTCGTGGTGGACCTTCAAAAAGTTAGAATTTGGTAATTCATTCAAAACGAGACAAGAAAAAGGAATTCAAATAATAGAAGGCTCAAAACCTATCTCCTCCTAGTTCCCATGCCAAAAACACATGACCTTCCTCTCGAGACTCCACTCCCAGAGCCTTTGCCACTTGCTGACTTGGACTCTGCTGTTACTCCACACACCCTTGGCAAGCAGGTCCTGGCTGCCTGAGTCCTTATGACAGTGTCTTCTTCTTGGCATCAAAGAAAATGTCTTGGTGATTGAACAGACTCTCTACTTTCAGGTTAGAGAATGAAGGTTGCAGCACAGGACAATATAGAAGAAGTAGAGAAGAAAATACTTTAAAAGATGTTGCCTTCCCATTTCTTTTGTTGTTATGGAAAAGTTAAAAAAAATGCAGAAAACTTAACAGAATGCCATGGTGAACTCTCCATACTCAAATATATTTTTTTTCTCTTTTGACTCTATTTTGTGTCTTATTTAATATTTCATATATTATAATATATAATGCAAAGTAATCCATTATCCAATTTACTCACAGATAGTAGAATAGACAGAGATACACACACATGTACATTTGGTATCGTGCTCAAAAATATTTTACACATAAGGATAAATATCAAATGTTTAGTGACTGCTGCGGTCTGTAGCTAGATTTCCCTCAAAGTCTCATGTACCAAAGGTGGGCTTTGGGAAGTGATTGGACTGTGGACCCTCTGTGTTCATCAGTGGCTTAGTCCACTAATGAGTTTATAGCTAAATGTGCTGTTAGAAGGTAGGGCCTGGTGTGAGTCACTGGAGATGTGGCCTGGAAGGGTTTATCTTCTTCTCTGGCTCCTGCCTTCTTCCTCAGCTTCCCTGATGCCAGGAGGTGAACAGCTTCTCCTCTGCCGTACACCTCTATTGTGCTGTTTTTTCTTGGGAGCAGACCAATCTGAAACATGAGCCAGAATAAACCTCACCTCCTTCAAGATGTAGGTGCTGGGTGTTGTGTCTCAGAGACAAGAAGACGGTGATACTTGAGTTAACAATAGTTGATAAGCAGTCCTATGAATAGCAATAAGAATAATAATGAATACTCGTGAATATTTATCTGCACCAGGAACAGTGAAAATGGCCACTGGCAGGGAGTGTTCTCTGGGCTCAGATTCTACACTTTTCTTGAAACTTGTAGAACTGGTGTAAAACCCTGAGCTAGTGGACATCAAATTAGATATTTAATCCTACCCCATGAAAAGATCTTTCTAAAAGCAAGTATCAGTCATCCTAATTCTTTTTAAAATCTAAGCTTACATTACATTAAATAAACAGATATGACCTTGGGGAAATTATTATAATTTTAAGACCTGTGTTAACATCTATAAATGAGGAAATTGGAGGAATCTATAGTCTATAATATTCCTGCTAACCCTTATATTTTATGAGCCATCTCTGTGAAGCCAGAAATTGTTAACAACAGACACTCTACCCAATGCATTATTTATATTATGTCTATTTTTATTGCAGGAACATTACACATATGGCATGATATTATGTAAATCTTTATCATAGCATCAACATTTATTGAAGACCTCTGCTCTGTGGCAAATGTCACAGAACACTATCA